ACCTGAACCAATTAATTAGGACCTGAACACCATGTGATAATTACAGGCAGGTGTGTTTGATATGGGTAGCAACTGAAATCTGCAGGAAGGGGGCTCTCCAGGAACAGGATTGGCCACCCCTTCCTCACAGAAAGAACGTCACTGGTTCCAGTCCTTACCAAGCCAGCCGTAAGTAGTTATCTCTTAAGAACAATCACCATCTGTTCATTAGTTAAAACAGCAAGGGAGTTCTCGAGATCTACCTGAGCTCAAACTCCCCTCTCGCCTTGCAAACTGGAGGGAGCCCCGGGCTCGAGGATCTTATGAGCTCAGGGCTCCCTCCCGGGACAGCTTGCCAAACAAGCTTTATAATCAATCATCAGCTAAGTGTGAACTCTTGAAAGGTGCATATAATCGTTATTTGCAACTGCACACTTGCTAAGTTCTGCCTTAAAGTAGTTTTTATGTCATTTTATACACTAGAGATCATGTGATATAAACATAAAATAGCAGACTCAGTTTGGGGAACAGTCGTCCTCTGGCCTAAATTTACAAGACAAGCTAGCTTTGTAGTTTAGTTACAATCTAAAGATGGAAAAAAAATCGTCCCAGCATCTTTACAATATACAAAGTCTCATTTTTACAGCAAACAAAGTGTGGAATTTACGTTACAGTTAAAGTAAGAAGTTATAAATGACTGGTATTGTTTTACCATAGTTATTCAAACTTTAACCAACTTATTTCTTTTAATACTACTAATAATAACAATAAATGTCATGCATTTACATTGTCTATCTTTACTCTTGTGTATGTTTGTATATAGGTTGGAAACAGTCAGTGGGAGTGTCATGAAGAGGATTGAATTAGAGAAAAAGATGCACTATCTTAAGGTATATATTTTTGGATAGTTTTTTTTTATGTGTTGCCACCCTAGAATTATAAGGTTTTACCTGACATTTTTGTCAAAATTGAGTTATTGACATATTCTTATTAAATGACAACTTATTTACATAATGGGATGGTTTTTTTTTTGTTTTTGTTTTTTTTAGAAGTTGTTTACATTTTAAGACTTTTTATTCAAAAAAAAAAAAAAAAGTGTTACACACATACTGTTTGCTATATGGAATGCAAAAACTTTGAATCTCAATATCTCAACATCTTTCAGAACGCAGATAGAACTTTAAAATTCCAAGGTGATGGTGTGTATGTCTTCTCAGTGCTTAAACCTTACTTAGAAAGACATTACATAACTGATAAATTCCAAGCAACCTGTTTAGCATTCACCTTAACTATGTACAGTGCTGACCATAAATATGTACACCCCTCACAGATCTCCCTTTTAATTTAATATCATGTATAGGTTGCTCTAAAATATTATCTTTGTGCATACATAGTAAATTAGTCAAAGCCTCATCATTGCCAAAGCCTAGGTTGTAACTAATCCTAAAAAAAAAATATTAAAAATAAACTTAAGATCAAAAATTAAAATTTTGGAAAGAAAAATATTTAATGCAGTTTTAATAAAGCAAAATTATTATTATTTTTTTTCAAATGTAGTTGAAATAGTTTTTTTTTTTTTTGCAACTCTTTAAATGTAATTGAATTTAAATGTATAACAAGACAATTTTTCACTGTAAAAGACATAAAAAATTACTTTTCAAAAGGGGAGTCCTCATTTAGCTGAGCACTGTATTAACGTACTAATTTACCAGAATGAATGAATGCAGAGTATGTGTTACCATCAGTGCTGAGGGATCAAGATAAATGCTGATAGGCATAGTGATTTACCAGAATGACTCATAGATGTTGATCTCGTTTCTGTGTTTTCCCTCCATACAGCAAACTCTTCGTGAGAAATGGGTGGAACTGCAATCTCTCACACTCAAAGAAAAACGCCTTACTCAAGGTGAGAAAAAAAAATACAGCTACAGATCGCCTCATCTGAGAATGCCAGCAGATATTATACAAAAAGCATTTTAAGTAATTTTTAAGCAAACTCTGAAGCTGCTCACATCACAGGTGAAGGGTTGAAGCCTCATGTTTATCTAAAAGATGTTAACTTGTGAGTTGTTTACAAACAGGTACCTCGTTGTCTACAGTGTGACAAATTTTTGTTTCATTTTGTTTTTAATTTAGGGAGTTGTATGTAGATAGGGGATAAAAAAGTCTACATCATACGTTATTTTAGCTGACCAATTAGCGATCATTAGAGCATTTAGGCATGAACACAGAAAAACTTCATTCCGCAGACATGGGCTGCATCCCAAATCGTCCACTACTCAGTAGGTACTGCATTTGAATTTAAATTTACTACTCGGCCGTTAAAAAATAATGTTATGAATGGAAATCAGACGCCATTTTGTCATCATCATGTGACCCGCAACAGTTGCGTCACTTTACTCCTATTCATGAATCCTTTGTTCTAATTATGGCAGTTTCCTCAGTAACAAAGGGATGCAGTTTTTGTGAAGCAGCAGTTGTGTCTCTGCTTTATAGACCTTTTTCTTTGTTGCTGTATGGAGGGCACCAAAGTGACCAGGGCCTGCGTAGAACTTACGATAAAAATTGTCATCAGCTAGAGCGGCGTTTCTCAGCTGGGTGTCAATACTGTTTTCAGTGGCTTACGGAGTGTTTTTGTAATGCAAAACTTTAGTTTTGAAAGAAAGACGTGTTAAAGCCGTCATGCTTCTGTCAGATGCGGTTAAAGTGTGAGAGAAAAAAACGCTCTCCTTCAGTGTCAGATGCTGAAATATAGCGTTAGTGTTCTTGACCTGTCAGCTCTTATAATGTACTCTGCAACTTTTCAATGCAAGCACACACACAAACAATAGCAGGTATGTAAGCCATGTACAGGCTATGTGTGTGTGTGTGTGTTAAACATTTTGGTGAATTACATTTGTTTGGCTTGGTTATATATTTGAAAGAAAGGGAAAACGTTCACTTTAGCGATGACGCTGCTCCATTTAAATGGTACAAGATGCCATCTGACAACGAGGTAAAATTGACTCGCGGCAGTTGTTTTCCATCCCATTAAATCGCATTTTATTAAATAATCAGTCCAGGAGGTGGCGCTGATCGACAGAAGTATTTGTTCAAAGACGTTGAAAGCAAATAAAATAGATCAAAACTATCATTTCAAAGCTATCCAAATGTGACTGTTTAAAGCAACCCAAGCTCATTCTGGAAACGTAGCCCCACGGACGTTTCTGGAGACCACGATTTATGTGGCCACGTTTTGTTTTTTTTATCGAGCGAACGCTGCGGGGCGGTGTGACGCCGCTCCGCTCCTCCTCTACGCGCTCCCTGGCTGACGGCTCGCCTCCCTGTGGAGGGCTTTTTCCACCACAACCAGTTTGTCCGCTTAGCTCGCAACGTTACGTCGGCGGAGCGGAGGCCCGGAGGGAGGAGGAGCCGGCCACAGCGACGATCGAGTCCGGGGAAGAGCGGTTCCAGAAATTAGGTAAGATGAAAAACAGAATCCAAAAAAATAAAAGCTAACGAGTTCGCGACGGGGCGAGATCCGAAAACGCGGTCAAAATCGGACGAGGGCTTTTGCTTTTTTTTTCTGGACGGCTTTTGCAAATCGTTGCTTGGGTTTAGGGAAGGAGGAGGAAGAGGAGGGTGGCTGGGTCGGCCGATTGGCCGCCCGGTCGATCGTTCAGTCGTTCAGCCAGTCAGTCGGTGCGCACTCCCGAGAGGCGTCCAAGTCATGAAAAAGCGTGCACAGCGGCCTCTCACGGGTTCGCAAAAACAAAAACTGCTCGAATACGTACCTCCCGGGACGTATTTTGCGGAATACGTACCTCCCGGGACGTATTTTGCAATCTCCAGAAATGTCCACGGGGGTACGTTTCCACAATGAGCCCGGGTCGGTTTATACACATCAGCTGCCGACTGGAAGAACTGAGCATTCTTGCGCATACATTCAAAGCATAATTTTGTGTTCTAAGAAAAAGGTCTATAGTGAAGAGTAAAGATGTTTTGCAAAAGCTTTTCTTTGACAAACATGTTCTAAAACCTTCATTTTGTCCATTTGTGTCCCTGGTCTGATACTAACAGGCTTCTGTTTTAGCTCATGCTGCAGGATTTGACCATTAGGATTAAAAGCATCTCTTTTTGTGTTCCAGGTAATCTAAATGAGAGTGCTCAGTATCTGTCTGTTGACTCGGTAATGTCTCTCTCATCTCCAATGGGTCGCTCTGGGCAACGCTTTTCCAGCGACAGCAGTTGTCGCAGCATAATGACAGATGACAGCGAGGATGGTGCCTTCATGTCATCAGTATTTGATGACTCAAGTCCATTAAGCCCAATTGAGTCAAGCGGAAGCTTCTTCCAGCTGGAAGTGGGGGCATTGCGACCCATAACAAGAACACGCAGCATTAGCCTGACCGGCAGTAACAGTTCACTCTCCCCAGGCTGGGAAACTTCACCTTCATCTTTGTTCGGCACTCTTCCAAGAAGAAGCAGAAAAGGTAGTGTCAGGAAACACCTTCTGAAGTTCATACCCGGACTGAATCATTCTGTTGAGGAAGAGGAGTGCAGCTAAAAAACTGCTGATCTGATTAATTAAGGACCTTAAGCAGATAAAGGATCATACCGGTTTATATATGTCATACAAGAACTTGACTTTACATCTTTAAGTCGTGTTGAAAAGCGAAATGGAGTCCCACATGAGCATTATAGACTGGATATTGTCAATCTCTATATAATGTACTTTTCTTGTCAGTGGATCTGCACTGAAACAAACAACTGGCATTAATTGAACATTAACAGCGTGCATTCTAAATGGCAACTGCGTTGAAAGAATATTGTGAACATTGAGAAAATAATGTGAACATTACTTCTACTGCTCTAATACAGTGGTTAGAACTCGAGACTTGGAAGTGTCTAAATCAGGGGTGTACAAACTCGGTCCTGGAGGGTTTAGCTCCAACCCTAATCAAACCAGCCTGATCTCACGAGAAAACGTAAGTATTTTACGTTTTGCCAGTTTAGTGGCTAATTTGTACGAATTCGTACGAGTTTAGTCGTACGAAATTGTACGATTTTAAAAAGGAGGCGTGGCACCTAACCCCACCCCTAAACCCAACCGTCATTGGGGGATGAGCAAGTCGTACTAAATTGTACGAATTCATACGAATTAGCCACTAAATCCAAATGTTACGAATTGCCTTGAGATTGTGTTGAATCAAACACACCTGAACCAGCTAATCAAGCTCTTGCTAGGTATACTAGGAACTACCTGGCAGGTGTGTTAAAGCAAGTTGGAGCTAAACTGTGCAGGACACCGGACTGAGCTTGGACACCCCTGGTCTAAATGTTTTTATTTCTAGCTTGATTCTCTTGATCTTTGAGTCTTGGAAGCTTCTAAATGTGTCTATTTCCAGCTTGATCTTTTATGTAACTAATCAAGATCATATGCTGTAGCATGCAAATGAGGTGTTGGTTTGTTGACAAAAGCATAACGTGTATGGCTGTAGAGAGCAGTGGCATGGAACATTGTTGTACTGTAGCAGTGCAAGGAAAGTTACATGTTTTCAGGTGGTCTGTGAAAATACCTGTGCTGCAAGTGCTTTCAAATCAACCAGATTTTACAGGTACTGTAGGTTTAGATGCAGGCTAGGGTTTCACTGTGATTTATATGTAGGTAAATGCTAAGAGTAAATTAGCTTGTCAGTTTACATCATGAAAACGGACTGATCTTGGCAGTGTGTGTGATATGAAAGTTAAGAGCTGATGAGTGACAGAGCTCCAAACCACAGAAAGTATAGAAAGGTTCATAACAGGATGTGGTCTGAGGTACTACCAACTACTTTTTTTTTTTTTTGCTTTCTTGAGTTATGCCTGTAACAGACAGACTGTAAGTTTTACGAAATGTAAAAACATAAGTAAAACAGAAGCGCTTGGTATGTCATTCTTTCTTTTTTTTTTTCTTGCTTGTTTTAATGTAAAGGTTGGAAAGCAAATGTTACCTGAAAAAAGTTATCTTCTAGTCACCAGCATACAATTACAGGAAGTATATGTGCGTGACATATACACACTTAATTCAACAGGAAGAGACTAAAGAATTAACAATATAAAATGCATTTATATTTTCACATTTGTGTCATGCTTATTAATATTTTTATTAAAAAAATCATCACAATGTGCTTGAATAAATTAACAGGTTTAATCCTATACACCGAGGAGCTGTGTCATATTTCTATAGCATCTTGTTAAGACAGGAAGTTGTAGATAAAATCAAAGTTAAGCAAGCTTTGGAGAATGAATTAGGGTTAGACATACGGTTAGGTCCATAAATATTTGGACATTGACACAACTCTGACAGTTTTGGCTCTATACACCAACACAATTGAGTTGTAATGAAACGAACAAGATGTGTTTTAACTGCCGACTGTCAGCTTTAATTGAAGGGTATTTGCATCCAAATCAGGTGAACGCTGTAGGATTTACAATAGTTTGCAAATGTGCCTCCCACTTGTTAAGGGTCCAGTTATTGCACAGAATAACAATCACACTGTAAAAAAGGCTTTTCTTACTTAGATTTTTTTGTCTTGTTTCTAGTCCAAATATCTAAAAGTTCTCAAATCAAGAAGCATTTTCTAGACAAGCAAAACATATTGTCTTATTTTAAGAAATAATATGCCAAAATGAAGTGAGTTTACCTTAAATCAAGCAAAATAATCTGCCAATGGTGTAAGCAAAACAATCTTATCGCAAATCGGAAAACAAGATTATTTTGCTGACCCCATTGGCAGATTATTTTGCTTGATATGATGCCTCTTCATTAACTGATACACATTGATAGGTTCGGAAAGAAAATATCTGAAACAAGCCAGTGCGGTTTCAGTAATACAAACAAAATCTTCAAGCCTATCAAGGTGAATGTTGTGATCAACAGTTTTAAATGCAGCACTGAGGTCCAAAACCACAAAAAGAGAAAAGCAACCATGATTGGACGATAAGAGCAGGTCATTTGTAACTGCTGTTTCTGTGCTATGAAATGTTCTCTGTAGGTAGTAACAAGTAGATTTTTCATTCATTCATTTTCTTGTCGGCTTAGTCCCTTTATTAATCCGGGGTTGCCACAGCGGAATGAACCGCCAACTTATCCAGCAAGTTTTTATGCAATGGATGCCCTTCCAGCCGCAACCCATCTCTGGGAAACATCCACACACACATTCACACACACACTCATGCACTACGGACAATTTAGCCTACCCAATTCACCTGTACTGCATGTCTTTGGACTGTGGGGGAAACCAGAGCACCCGGAGGAAACCCACGCCCAGCACTACCTACTGCGCCACTGCCTCGCCCAAGTATAATTAATTAATTCTTTATGATCAAGCTGTGTTTTTTTTTTTTTTATAAGAGGCATAATGACAGCTAATTTAAACGCTTTAGGCAGAGATGCTAAAAGTAGGGATGAATTCAAAATGTTAAGAACAGGTTCAGAAACTTCTGAAAACAAATGTTTTAATAATTTGGTCGGTATAGAATCTGGAGGGTTTTATCAATAGGCCTAATTGTTTACTTTTACTACTTGCTAAATCTGCAAACTTTTACTACTTGCTAAATCTGCAAACTTTTATGGCTTTATTAAATCTGATAATTTTGTAACTTATTTCACTCGTATGCCCCTTAATGCTTACTGATTCGGTCTTCACAACCACAGAAAACAGTAAAATACAGCACCCTCAAAGCTGATGATGGCATCAACACTGCTGCAAAATTTTCATTCTTTGTTTCATTCAATGTTTATTAGTGCAAAGTTTACTATCCATTTCTATCTCATTTTCTTTTTTCGCAGCCCCTCGAGCAGCCCTCAGGCAGGTTAATGATGACGTAATTATCAATCGACTCCTCAGAGTTGTTAAAAGATACGCGAGCAGAAACAGGTGGAAAATGTATAATAAACTGTGCAAAGGTGGCACTGAAAGGCCAGAGTAAAACAAAATAAATATCTAGAAACTGACGCAGCCAAATGTACTAAGCTGAGCACATTTTTCGTTAAAACCAGCGGCAGAGAAACGATGAAACAGTTGGTAAGTTAACGTTAAGCTAGGAGCAGTGCAAAACAACGATGTCTGCAAACCACCGTTCATGTTTATGTATCAAACTTTTTCTTGTTAGCTCTTTAGCAGCAGCCTCAAGTCCAGTTTGCTGCTAACAGTGATGAGGCCCTGTATGTTATTTTATTGTAATTTGCAGTTTTTACTTTTCCAAAGAGATATGGTAGACGTAAAATTGTAATATTTAACTTTTTATCCAACACTGGTTAGCACCCGTCATGAGCCCAACACACGAATCTATGGAAGGCCGTTGGGGCCAAAACGTCTGCAATGGGTAGGATTGTCATGAGTGTAAGAATTAAAATAGTTAATATTAATGAATATTACACCTGCTCAATGAAAAGCGCCTTGAGACAATTAATGAAATCAGACGATTCAATACGCTAATAAATCTGACTTAACTTGATCAGAAAGCTAAAAAGGTGCAAAAAAAAAAATTAAACCATCATTAGAAAATAATATTGTGGTTAAAAAAGTCTTGCAGATAAAGAGTGCAATACTTAAAATATTTGAAGTTATAAAGCAGCTGTTTCCTTTAAAAATACATGATGGTATCATTAGAAAGTTACCTACATTTTCTTTACATACATTATATTTGTATTTATTTGATATTTATTGGATATTACTAGTTCTTACAGAAAATAGATTTTGATACTGTTAAACATTACACTGTGTTAACTTCACATAAATCTTCACCGTGAAGCAAGATTTAAGCTACTGTATTTGCTCTGAGTTGTAAATGATGTTATTTCAATATATTCAGTCATGAACTGAAGTGGGCCTGTCTAAGGCTTGAAACTCCAGGGCTGAAAAGGAGTCCCACTCCGACCCTGATCTTTTCACTCAAAGGACAACTGCCGAGGGACTCAAACACAACAAAGTGCAAATATCCCTTATAGTCAACAAAGAAATACAACGTTATGCAAGAGCGTATAACATGGATTTTCAGTTCAGTCCTCATCAGTTAAACATTTGGGGGTAATATTTATTAGAAACTTGTCATTTGAAGTCCACATTACAAGCATCTGTAAAACTTTGCAGGCAATTTTTTTTATCTTAAAAATGTTTGACATATGCTATCAATGTCTAATTCAGAAAAGCTCATTTATGCTTTCATGACCTCTTGTTATGGTGTGTTCACACCAGAAGCAAAGTTGCGTTAGTGTAAGTGATTTACATGTTAAGTCAATGCAAACGCGTGAATAGACATCCTGCGGCGTGAATGGCGCAGTGTGAATTGAGCGTTTTGTGCGTTTGACATGCGAATTGTGCAAGTTCGAAAATCTGAACTTCAGCGGAAATTCGCACTGCGTTAACCAATCAGGAGCTTGCTCTTGTGGGGGCGTGATTGTGACATAGGGCCTGTGTTTCGTGTCACGGGGAATCCTACAGCCGACACCGACAACAGTGCATCAAACTGTGCTCGGCTCAGTCAAAAGTAACGCTGATAACCTCCATCAACCAGGTTAAGCTTCTGGAGGAGTTTATGAGCTCATAGAGCTGGATGCACCTCCGAAAGGATCTAGTCGACTCAGACACGGCCCTAAACGTATCGACGCTGTTTTTCAGTCTTCATAAAGCACATAAACACTGTTATTTTCTTAATAAAATCCATGTTAGCCATTTAGCAACGAAGCTAAAGTCACCGGGCAGACAGAAGCCCTGGCCATCTGTTCTGAAGTTAATTTGATGCGCGAATGAAGCGGATTTGACACGTGAATTAAGCGAAGTTTGATGTACGAATGAAGCAAGTGAACTCAAATGTTTACGCGGCTATTTACGCGCGAATAGCGTGATTTATCCACGAGTTCCGCGTCTGGTGTGAACACAGCATTAGACTATTGTAATGCTTCACTAGGTGGTTGCCCTGTAGGGCTATATAACTTCAGCTTGTTCAGAATGCAGCTGTTCTTTCTACAATGAAGAAATATTAGTCCAGTTCTGTCAGCATCTAAACACTTAAATCCTGAAACAGCCTTCCTAGCAGAGTTTGGGAGTCAAACACATTCTGTAAGTTTAAATACACGTCCTTTTGCATTAGCATACACATAACACAAACTCACAACTTTGAAATCCACAACTTCTAAAGGTTTGTTAGACTGCAATTAAAATGAATCTAGGAACACTTTGAATAGTATCTGCACTCATATTAGTCTGTTTCTTCTCCGGTTTAATTGTCAGACATCGATAAATCAAGAGTTCTGCAAGACCGCATTGAAAGACAAGTCTCTGCATTTGCTATGATGACTAGTTCTAGTTATTTTTTAAGATTGTAATATTCAGCTTAAAGTGCAATTTAAAGATATTACTGTGACAAGAAGGGACTGGAACCAGAGATGCAAGAATAACAAGTTAATTATGTTGGATGGCAGGATTATACAGAATTTTATGAAACTGGTGTGCAGGATGGAGATGGATGACGAGATGAATAGGAGGGACCAGAGGATTATGCAGAGAAGCCAGGCACATAGATAGAGGACTGATGACAACCAGAGGAGGGACCAGCAGAAACCACACTAGGAAGAAGAGATGCAGACACTGGAGATCACAGGGAGAGGTTAGTAAACTTGAAACTAGAGTAAATAACACTGGCCATAGGGAGAGTGCAGTCCAGCATTCGCAATAAGGGGTGACACTGAGTGAGGGCTGATGAGGGTTCTTATGATATTCATACGCACGTAAATGCATCAGACCGGAAACGCAAGCTTATGCGACAAATTTTGCAGTTGGCTGCGTTGCAAAGTTCAAGCTTGGTGAACTATGACCTGCGAAATTGCATCACTTGCGATCAAAACATGACCTCTCTGGACAGAAATTTAACACATGGACCAATCGATCGCATTTTTAAATGTCTAATTGTCTTGTCTAATCCTGCCCCTTTTCGCAGCGCCGTACTCAAGCGCCAACCTCCCGTTCTCCCTCGGGAAGCCAATAACTGAAACTGCAATTCATCGAAAATCCGCTAGTCCTGGCTCCATTGGAGCAAATTTCAATTGAGCCCACTGTTAGAACGGCCAACTTTACAGCAGAAAAAAGGGTGTTCACAGGCTGGTACAAAAAATGTTTTGATTCATATAGCTAATGTTACCCTTCATGACAACAGTGAGGGGGGTAAATTTTTTTTAGAACTCATCCGTTTCCTTTATATTAGGTTATATTATGTCTGCATAATTAAGGGCGTGGCCACTTGAGTGATAGCTAGGTCTCGCTGGTCGCTGTCACTTCACCTCAGCTTACTCCAGCAGATTAGCCGCTCATGTGGGCATATACATTGTATTTTTGTGTTGTTTTATGTGGCTTCACACAGTCAGTTGCCTTTTGGAATTATTTCTTACAATTATCAGATGATATGGCATGCTGTGAGCACTTAATTGTGCTCACAAACCATTCACATGGCCTCCATTTCCCAGGTGAGTGAAATTATATACTTTTACCTTCTCTATGAATGCATTGGTTTTATTTAAGATTATTTATAATGTTTTTTAGAGCTGTAATTCACTCCTGAATCTGACAGACTGATTAGCTGTAGGCTCTAGAACAGTCATCTGAAGCGTTGTCATACACTGTTATACTGGATTTCATCATTAGTCTTGCATTTACTAACACAGACTATATTTGAAGTATTTGGATGTAATTTGTGTTTTCCTCCTGTTGAAAAACGTCATAAGAACAATGTTTAGTGGCTCAATGTGTTACAACAGTGTTTTTAAAAGTCTAAACACTTCACTGATACAGTGTACAACCAAGCAAACGAGTTGCAGGTAATGAAGTATTAAGCGTTTCTTCCATAGGAAAGCCCGTCTAAGCAGAATGCCAGCATGCGTCTGTAGCTCCGCCTCTTTGCCCTTATTTGGTATCCCACGGTTGGTACCATGACGCACAAACAAAATGGCAACTGTTGGCCACGCCTACTGGTAGCTTCTTTTGGGTTCTTCATAAACCTATGGGTGACGTCACGGACACTACATTCATATCTTTTATAGTCTATGGCCGTACTACAGACTTTCGCAAGCTCAAACTCTAGTGTGACCACAGCATAAATATCTTGTTATGTTAATTAGGCAAGTTAGGATAATTAAGCAACTTATTGGATGACAGTGGTTTGTTCCATAGACAATAAAAAAAAAATAAGGTGGGTAATAATATTGACATTACATTTGTTTTTAAAATAAAACAATGTAGAAGAATACACATGGGAAAGTCACGGTCACACTCCACTTTTATCTGCATGCGAATAAAATGTCAGCGAATGTGGCAGACCAGAAACGTAAGCTTGTGGGCCAAATTTCGCAGTCCGCTGCATTAAAAAGTTTAATCTTGGTGAACTCTGACCTGCGAAATCGCTTCATGTGATTGTGTAAGACTATTAAAGATCAAAACATGACCTCTGTACAGAAATTCAAATTATGGACCAATCGCTCACTTTTTTTTTATTGTCTAATCATCTTGTTTAATTCTAACCCTATTCGCAGCGCGTATGACAGAATTGAGCAAGTGCAAACTCTTGTGTGACTGCAGCATTAAGCTGCAGTTAAACTGCACATTTCGCACTTAGACTTACATTAATGCACACACGAATGCGCCTGACCGAAAAGCAAGCTCGTGCAACAAGTTTCCCAGTTCCCTTTGTTGCAATGTTAAAGTTGGATAAACTCTGACCTGCTAAATCCATTCATGTGATTGAGACCAATCAACAATTAAACATGACCTCAACGTACAGATATTTAAAACATGGACCAATCACTCACTTTTTACTAATCATCTTGTTTAATCCCGCCCCTTTCTGCAGCATTGTAGGAGAGAATTTCCCTAGCTCAAACACTAGTGTGACCGTGGCATTACTCTGTTTAACATCACTTAGAAAAAAAGAATTAAAAAAATTCTGAGAAGGGCTAATAATTTTGACTTTAACTACAAATAGCATTTAAACCAGACATTTTATTTTTAATTGTTTTAACAAATGTAAACTGTCCATGTTCATGAATGGTAATAAAAAAAGTCAGTTTTATAATTAGCATTTCTTCAGAGTAGGGTTGTAACGGTATGAATTTTTCACGGTATGATAATCGTCTAAAACAATACCACGGTTTGACGGTTTCGCGGTATACGGTATGTTACAAATGTTACAAAATAATAGAACAGTGAAGCAAATTTGACTTTTTCCAAAAAATATATTTTTAGTTACTATAAACAACACCACTTACAATGAACAAATAAAAATAAGAAAATAATAAATAATGTGTCAAAGTCCAAATAAAGTCCAAATAAACATGGTGCAAATCCTCAGTAAAAAATAGATATAAATATTTGCTATACTATAAATAGTTACATAACGAAACTAGATTCAATATGGAACATCCTTAGGTTTTATGTGCCAGCATGGATATGGTTGTCTATGGATATGGTTGTCTGCAATGCAGACAAACAGCTGCATCTTAATTTGCGTCTTTTGAAAACAGCAAGAGCAGCAGTTCGCCTTTGCTGTGTCACTGTTTTGTCATGTTTCTGTGCTGCTGTGCATGCAAAAGTACTTAGTATGAGAATTATTTCATGCAAAACTTTTTTTTTTGCGTTTTATTTAGCCGCGCATAAATGTATGCCTATCTCTCATTCCGTGTTGTTCAAAAAGCTTGGTCCACAAACAAAAGCGAAACCTATGCTTATTGGTTGTGATATAGCGAGTTTGAACCAATCTGGGCATGGAGGAGGGACATTGCATCAATGTATCGTGTCTGATTTGTCCGGAGACACAGTGACGAGCGTTTCTTTGTCAAATCAGCGTTGTCAAATGTTGATGACGTAACCGCACTGATTCCGGAGCCTCTGAAAGTCCGTGAATGTTATGTGATACAGCACTGGAAAGCTGAGATTCTCTTCTTTATGCCAATCTTTGAATTGTATGAATCGGATCAGCGGATCAAAAGTTATTAAACATGTAAGAGCAATACTTATTTTTAGCCGCGGGCGGCTGTCTCGGTCTTTAAGGGTTAAAACCGTTGATATGCAATTGTTCATGGTATGATAATCGTGCACGTTCAAATCGTGGTAAACCGTCATACCGGTATATTGTTACAACCCTACTTCAGAGATATAAAACTTTCACTTGAACAGTTCTTCTTTAATAAGCTGTTTCACCTAGACAAACTGTACAAAACCAAATAGTTTCATACCAACCTCAACAAGATATGAAAAATGAAATCTATGACGGTGTGTAGAAACAATTGGAACTTTATTGTGAAAATCATCATAAGGGTACTTTCAAAATGTTCCTGGTTGTGCAAAATGTTTGTAAAATAATTGCTAGCCATAACCCATATCTCACATAAACCCTTAAATATCATTAACCAACATTTGCTAAGAGAGAGAGAGTGGAATTCCTGATGGTCACCCCGAACATTTATAATTCACAATGACAGAAGTAAACAGCAACACTCCATTTGCATTGCACAAAATGACTATAAGACATGAAGTGGTCCAAAAACATTTCCTCATTCATAGTAGTGTGTAAACTGCCATTTCTGAAAAGTACTGAAGCGATCACAGCCTTTAAGGAAGACACCATCTGCTTTAATTCCTGCTTCCAGACAAATGGGTTGAGAATAAACCTCTGCCATCAAATGCTCCGTCTACATATACACATAGAAGACAGATTCAGTTGAACAATGTAAACACAACAAAGCTTTTGAACAGCCATTGAACAGGCTGGCTATAGGCCTGCATTATACACATTTACTTTTTCTTTTGGTGACATGGGGTGGGTTTAGGGTGTGTTCTTTTAAATGTAAAAAGCTTTAAAAAAGGTATTAAATAATAATAATAATAATAAAATTGATGATAATAATACAATTCATCATCACCATGGTTATCAATTACTTTGGTTATCAAATCACTGACATATCATGTAACTTTTTTTATGTAACTTATTTATGTAACTTATTTATCTCTAGTACTTCAGTGAGCTCTGCAGCAGTCTCAGGTTCACCTCAAATCCTCTCCTTGGTTGAGACGGTGGGAAATTAACTCAGTGTTAATTTATTAATGCGATAATACTTACCAAAGCTTTACCAGACTTGTGAATCCAGCGGAGATGTGGCTTAGTGTTGTCACATGGTTCCATGGTTAGCTGTGTTTCCTGAGGAGCCAAACAGGAAGTGTTCTGTCGAAGCAACCTTAACCAGGTGAAGGTAAAATATTGACTCTGCAAGGCATGAGAAAGCAGAAATGAACAGTGCTTTTACAAAGCAAGATTATACAGCTAAACATAAAACCGACAAAATGTCTGATTTGGATCTACCTTATTTGTGAGATCACATTTAGTTAATGAGAAGCTTTCATTTTGAAATATCAAACATTTTCTGGTTCCAACATTGAAAATCTGAAAGAGAAAACAAATAAGTGCTCCGTGTAAATAAAATATCCTTTTAGTGAGACCTAATTTTCAACCTACCAGTCCTTCGGCTTTGACCACAGGGGTGTCCAGATCTGGATAGACATTTTCCAAGTACCATTTAAAGCTTTTACACTTGAGTTTTTCCCTCAATTGAATCTGTTCTGTCAGATTTCCTATATCAGTCACATTTTTGTCCAGTAGGTGCTGATAGCCATGACCGTAAAACACCTCTTTATATTCATCCAGCCACACCTCTGCAACCCTGGCTAAGTTTCTCTCCACTGTCTTTACACGGTCTTTCGTGAACTTATAAGGGTTATCGCTGCGGAAGATGTGGCCAACGCGAGAGCAGGGGATTATTTCAATCTCACCACCACACATCCAGATCTGAAAAACAAACAAAAACACGTTACCTGACTTCTTTCTATTATTATGTAATATATGGCTGTGTATAAAACAACATGCTATTCAGTTTAACATATCTTATTTAACATGTCATAGTTGTTTTGTTCAATAATCTTCCAGACTGTGCTTAACAATTCCAGTTAGCATGCAAAATAAGCAACCAAAAACTCTCAAGTAACAGGGCAGGCACTATTTTGTGCTAAAAGGCTAAGGGCTGGGACACATCAAGCTCTGCTCCCCCAGGGTTAACATCAGATAGCATTAACCATATTCAAAATGTAGAAACAGCGTAAAGCTGTTGGCTGAGGAGAGCACTCTGAGTCCATGGTTATTCAGAAACTAGTGATGGGTTGTTTATTAACGATTCGTTCATTTTGAACGAATCTTCAATATGACTCGGGAACTACTCCTCTCATAGAGTGATTCGTTCATCCGCACATTTGTGCAGGTGGTATTGTTCATTTGAAGTTTTTTAAGTCGTTCATCGCGGAAAGGCAGAAGCCAATCATTCACGTTTAGAGCCGGAAAAAATAATTGATCCGTTCATCCCTCGAGTCCTTTATCGGGTCTGAGTCATTCGTTCCTCACGGGGCAATCATATGTGTTTAGAGCCGGAAAAAGAATTGATCCGTTCATTTCTCCAGTCCTCGGGTTTGAGTTATTCTGTCACATTATGAACGAACAACTCAAGAACCAGAAGACTTGAAAGGTGAACTAATCATCATGGCTCCTATCGACTCAGACTGTGTACATTGGTTAAGATTATATGTGACTGTCAGTGTAGCATGAACCACTGAACATTTGAAGAGGTGAGCTGAGCAAAGAGACAACAATACCTTCATAGACAAAAGAGCAGGTAAACATTGAATTATTATTTTCTCCTTCTTATAGTATTCTATTTATGACTTTTTTGTCATTTGAATAACCTTTTGAGCTAGTTGTAGATGTGTCTGGAAGCAATTTGTAACATTTTAATAATATTTTGGCAAATTGAACCAAATGAACGAAATGACTCCAGAAGATTCGTTCATCTCGTCGAACGTGACTCAAAGATCCGAGTCAGTAAAATGATCCGAACTTCCTATCACCATCAGAAACAAATCAAAGAGTGTGACATAGTCAAGTGACAAAGCAAGTAAATAAAGAAGAAAAACAAAGAGGCTAGCTGTAATTTTGCTACATTTTCCATATATTTGAAAACGATATGGATTATTAGATTATCAGACATATTTGCTGGAGCGAATCCCTCGTTGGTGAGTGAAACTTCCTCTGAAAATAATGCTAAACACAGCTTTGTTTACTCTTTGCATTCACAAGCCAAGTTTGCTGTTCTGAACAAGACAACAGACCACTGCCCCCCGCAGGTGCAGAAAGACAAATCCTCTCACAGACGCAGAATGCGCTCTCATTTCAGTTGGCTTTTGACCATTTGGTGTGTGTTCAGGGGCAGCTTTTTGGTCTAGATCATAGGTCTCAAACTCGATTCCTGGAGGGCCGATGCTCTGCACAGTTTTGCTTTAACCATATTCAAACACAGCTGATCCAAATAATCAAGGTGTTCAAGACTACTAGAGACTATTAAGCAAGTGTGAGGTGGTTGGAGCTAAACAATGCAGAGCTGTGGGCCTCCAGGAATTGAGTTTGAGACCATTGGTCTAGATGGAACCAGACACGAGGCAACAACACAGTTGGGTTTTGTCTGTGCTAGTTGTTTGGTGTTGGCTTGGTGTGTACTGGACTTAAGTCCATTGTACAATAAATCTCAAACATGTAATGATTCCTTTAAATTCCTGGTTGTTACGGCTGTTGCTTTTTTCTCTTTATTGCCTGTCTCTGTGCGTGTGTGTGTCATGACGTCACTCACTGTTTGTTTTCTATAGAGTCCGCCTTTGCGCACCTGCGGCGAGTTGCGCTTATTGAAACTGGCTATAAATGCGGACCATCCTTGAGCGGAGACAGAGAGAGAGGAGACTTCACAGCCAGCCATCAAGCTTCTTTCGTTTCTTTAATTTACTGTTTTGTTTCTTGAAGTTTTATTTTGTTTCTAATTTGTCAATTGTTGGGTTGTTTAGTCTTTGGTTAGTGTTGTATGTTGTTGGAGAACGTGAGTTATTGATTCTTTATTCATTCTTATTTCGTTGTGACACATGATCTGTTGGATTGTTTTGGTTGTAATAAATTTAATAATTTAGACAACTTAGTTCGTGTGTACTCTTTATGTTGCGTTCCCTTTATGACTTAATTATTGATTTGATTTGATTTAAAAAAGGGGATCGTAACATAAATTGGGGGCTCGACCGAGATTGTTTATTTGACAGACATAACAAATAACTCCGGATAGGTAGAGTAAATCAGGGGGGCCGTGTCTAGCGCCAGTCCTCACAACGATTTACTATTTGTTATTTTTCTTTATTGTTTTAGTTTGTTATTTTTGGGGGAAATCCGGGGGAGAGGCATGGCTTCTCAACTGGTAACCTCTGAAGACTAGAGAGGTCTTTATTTAGTGTTGAGTAGGTAGGTTTAGGGCCGGAGTTGTTCGTTTAATGTTTGGTAATGGCAACTTTTGATTTAGGCGAGTTTATAAAACAACCAAACCTTGAGGCATTAGAGACATGTAGAAAAGATGATTTGTTTATCATTGCACAACA